TAAATTCTAAAGAATTTATATCTAAAATTATCAATTTTAACTAAAAATTTCCAAAAATTTCCATATTATATTATAGTTTATGATATGTAGTAATGGGATGCTGCGCAGGTGGAATATTTCGAAATTTCACAATTCTGGCCTGCATTAGCAGTAAACTATGATGTGGGCCACAGTAGATTCAAAAAAAATTCGATTTGCTTATTCCTAGTGATGCGTATTTTATTTTTAAATAAAAATTTTATACAAACTTAATCTATTTACCTTCGAAGACATACTGTATATGATTAGTTTGTGATGCCGTGATCTAGAGACATAAATTTATGTGACTTTATATTTAATAACAATCGGCAAAATTTAAATACTGAATTATTAAATATTTTAACAAAATAAAAGAATGAACTTACAAAATTTTTCTAAAATTTATTAAATTTAAAAAAAAAATTTATCAAAAATTTATTAAATTTTTTGTGGTTTCAGAAAAAATTCGAGTTTTTAAAACTAAAATTTTACGGGTCTCTGACATAGCGTAATAATTTTCCGTTTATACTCTTTGGCCTTAATATGTTACAAGATCCAAGTTTTTGACTATAAGTCTGTAAGTTCATCGGGCTTATTGGGCTTTCTTATGAAGCCTGAGCCCGGTCCGATATTTAACAAGCCCGGCCCGAACAATAGCGGGTTTAAAATTATGAGCCCGAATTGACCCAAAGCCCGGCCCGTCCCGCACCCTAGTTATGACGATCACTGAATCGAAAAGCATTAAATTAGCACAAATAAGAAATTCATAAAATTCATAATAAATAATTATTACACTTATTGTCAAAATCGAATTGAATAAGTTACTGTTTATTGACCAAATTAGCACAAATAATATACAAATAAGAGGTGTTGATTATAAATTATCGTCATGCTTGTCAGTTCAATTAAATGACATTTAATGAGAGGTGATCCAATGATTAAATCAACACGAAGATATAAACATATCGAAACAAGAAAGTACTACCGATTATTAATTTCTGAAGTAGCAATAATTTATAATCATATCGTAATATAACTTAAGAAATAGTGAAAATTTTTATTTAAATTATACTTACAAACTAATTTAATATATGAAGAATGGCTAATTTCAATTGCGCTTACTATTATAATCATTACAAACTAAATAAATAAAGAAATCAATGAGAAATGGAAAACTTGCTTTATATCCCAAATTACAATTCACTATTTATAATTAAGATTTCTTTCCGATTACTATGTTTTCATATTGATATTCTCTCGATATATTGTAAATCGCAATAAATATAATATCGGACATCCGAACTATGCCATTGATTAATGCACATGAGCGTATACTATAAAATGGTGTCCGATAAGAAGATCAGCGTAATGAATTTAACCTTTATTGGGATTTTCATGGATTTGAAGACTGCTTTTTTCCTATAAAAAGGACATCATGTTATCTATAATCATACCAAGAAAAAAACATCTGAATTAAAAAAAAACAACCCCCAAAAAAATCCTATTTCGCTAAGAAATCATGAAGAATTTTATTTTTGTGTTCAGTTTATTTGCTATTTTCTTACTGTAAATGTAGTTCCATTTCAACTTAATAAAAAAGCTACCAACTTCCAGCTTTGTGTTCAAGATTATTTTGACCCATTTGTCCTATTTACTGTGGCAATGCAGCCTGACCCTCTTGTTAGTGACGAATCCGCTCAATTTAATGTATCCGGAACATTAACAAAAAAAAATATCACCGCAGGCCAAACTATTCTTGAAATTGTTTTCGCCCCTTACATTCAAATATTCGACAAGTCATATGATGCTGGAATCCCATTTGCGATATTTGCATTAAATGTTTCTGTTCCTACTTTACCTGATTCATATTATAATCTAGTTTTTGTTGGAGATCCAACAAGTGATCCAAAATATCCATTAGATATTTATGGTTGTGCGCGTGCTGCCGTTGGCAACCCTTAAAACGTTTCTTCTACAAATTTGCCCTGTAATTTTTTTAAATTTTTATTTTTAAAATAAAATTTTAAATATTAATTTTAGCTATATATTTTCATTAAATCATGCCGGAAATAAAATAGAATTCTCTATGTAAGTGTATATGTCATACCTGCCAGATAACAAGAAAGTATCCGTTATTTATTTAAGTATCCGAATTTGATACTAGATATAATTATTCTTCATCAGAGTTATTCACCATTTTTAAATCGAGCTTATTTAATCTGTTTCTAGTTTAGCGTGACAATGTCGCGCAACTATTTATTGTAAAAAATTAGATTAATAAGAATTGAAATTTTATGTCGCAGATGTTGGTGAAATCTGAATGTCTTAATTTAAAAATCTAAACACTACCAGAATCTACCTATACTTTTTTGTTATAAACTCTAACTTTAAATCCTAGTAATCTGAAAAAAGCCTAAAAAAATTTATCCCCAAAAAAATTTAAAAATCATATATTAATTGGTCAATTCTATTCTAACCCAGATGATAGGATCTTTTTGTGTCATATTACTACTGTTATCAGTTCGTGATTCGTGGAGATACTATATCTGATATGCATATGGGCAGATTTATTTCCAATGTGATTATTGCAAAATTCACGCTGATAGTTAATTCACAACATAACTTATAAAATATGCGCGCATTACACTTTGAAATTTTATATTAATATTCAATAAGGCCTTAGTTTTTTGGATCACGTAAAAACACAAAACCATGTGCGTTACATGCAAAGATCTTTAAAAAAAACCACAAGACTAGTCTCAGTGTTGTAGTATGAAAATTTTCGTATTTATATTCAACAAGAACTTAGTTTCTGGATCCAAAATTTATTTTTTGGAATCAAAATTCTTGCTAGTGAAATGGCTAAGAGGTAACTATGTAAAAATATTAAAAACTTAAAGAACAATAATTCTTTTTTTATTTGCAAAGTCTTTGATGGTATTTAATAATCAAATGAAACTGATGAAAGCTTCTCAAGCATTGATTAAGAACTTTATTTGGATCTATCGAAGTAAATGAGCATCTCCATATTTTATTAGTAATCACAGTAAATGTAAGTGCCTTTGCATATTTTACTTGTGATTTGAAACCTTTTTTCTTCTTTTCAAGATATTGGCTTCCGATTATAGTTTCTGTAAATAGAAATTGAAACACTCGGGTTAATATTTTTGGAGTGGTTTCATTTCAGGTCACAAATATAGAGCAAATCTCAATATCTCTATTCATGCATTGATTTTATTTAAAATTTATAAAAGTAGCTATAATTCTGTCATAATTATTATGCAATATTTAATTGCTAATAAATCATATCTGGAGAATATTTATTTTCGTGCATTATTAAAATGATTTTTATTATTATTCATTTTATATGATCATGTGAATTTTTTGTCTTGATATTTTTGCCACGAATGACATCATCATTTCTCAAAATATCATGAAAAACATCATATGATCATATAATACAAACAATAATATCAATATTGGTCATATGAAAATAACAGAGAATTTTTCATCATATGACCAATATTATAATTATTATCACATTCTAAGATAATAAATATCTATATAAAATTTATATCGAAATGATGCGCATAAGATTTAATTTCAGTTAGTGCAATAAACAAGAATAATATTAGATTGATAGTTTATTATTATTATTTTTTTAAAAAAGTTTCATCATAAATTTTTTTCAAATTGAATATATTAAAAAATAATATGCTAATATAAGAATTAAATAAATTTACAGATATTATAATACCTTTTCAACCTTCAAAGAACCAATATTTAATGCCTTTATCATCTACAAATTCTTTTTCTTTTCTCCAAATAAATTCACAATCTTGGACTGACCAAGATTCAAAACCACTCTTCTTTAAGGTTTCAGTTTTAGGATATGGTTTTGATTTCATTTTATCTGATGTCTCTTTCCAAGATTTTGTAATATTTGGATCATCATAAAAACAGATATACTTTACTCTTATTTTATCCTTAAACTTGAAATCTAAATTATTAAATTCTAACGATTTTTCAAGAAGTGCAAAGTCATAAATCAAGTCAATTTGAAAACGATATACACCATGTTTACTATATTTGACTGCATCTGAAAAAGCATCACTTTTTTTAAGAAAATTGGAAGTCAGTAAAAAAAAATTGCTAATAATAAATTACAAGATTAAGAACATACCTCATAAATGAAATTATTACATTTTGTAATATCATCACAAAAACAAAACTGCCAACTATACTAATTACAGTAAGTGGCCAAAAACTCCAACTATCAAATGAAATTGAAGACCAATCATATACTGCAATTATAGAATTAAGAATATTTGAAAATGGATAATAGGTTGATGAAGATTCATTTAACCCAATGTAAGAGGGAAAACCGAGAAGAATGTATCTAAATTAGGTATAAATGAAATAAATAATATTTATATTTTAAATTCTAAAATGTCATAGGCGAATAATAAACTTACAATGCATGTCCCTGATAATGCAGCATGTAATTAAAGTGCAAATTTCAAATATTATATTAATAAAAATATTAATAATTAAAATTATTCATAGTACATAGCTTAAACATAATTACCATCGCAATAACAACTAGAATAAAAAACAATAAAAATTGTTTTATTGAAATAATAATATTTAAGAGTATACTAAGGTTATGCGCAAACTCTAAATTATAGTATAATAATTATAAATATAAGTCTAGATGATAACTTATTAAGGTGAATTATTAGAAATACTGTACCTTCAAATATACGTAATAATAAAATCTAACAGAGTATATAAAATGAATGGTATGAAATTTAGAAAAAAAAACTTTACAATTATGCAGGATTAGATAAGTATATACTTACAAATTCGTACCAAAGAATTAAAATATTTAAGAATATAATGAATGTCAATATTTGACTGCTTTCAGCATTTTTAAAACCATCATCAAATGTATAATGACAAATTAAAATATAGCTAAGGATAAATGTCGAGATAATAATTGATAAAAGATCTACCATATTAAAAAAATCAAAACAATATTGCATTCCTTTACTATGAAATTGTTTAAATTCAATAACGATATGATAATATGATAAATAATAAAATAGTGCAATAGTTATAATTATTAAAATTTGCTGAAGTGCACCAGTTATTTGAATATGGGCAATGTATGCCCAAGAGATAATTGAATAGGTTAAAAAGTACAAGGCAAATATATACAAAGTTCTAGGCCAATAGAATTTAGAAGAATACCACATCCAATTTATAGCAGCTCCCATTGATGGATTTTCATATAAAATATCACGTTCACCTTTTATTACGAGTTTAATAAAGGGACTGTAATCCTCCTCTTTAAGTGCCGAATATTGAGCAGGAGAAATTAATTCCTTTGGAAACTTTGTAAGTTTTCTTTCTTTTATATCTGATATTCTTTTGCTTGTTGTAAAATCTGCAAAAGGTACCATTCGAATATCAACAATTTTATTATAACTGTAATAAATAAATTTAAAATGAAATTAATTATAATAAAATTCAACATTTTAAACACTAATAAATATTTTTCATACTCAATCTCTTGTAGTTCCAACTCAGAATCTTGTGGAATCAACTGTGTTATTGGTATAAAAACTTTTAATAAATCATCTGATGTTGGAATAATTTCAAGAAATTCAAAAGATAATAAATCCAAATGCTTGTTACAAAAGCAAGGATTATAAAATAATTTTTGAGCATAATAATATGTATAAGATTCTACCACATGAACGTCATATTACATAATTATATGTTAATATGAAAATTTATGGCAAGTCAAATTTTAATTCCATTTTAATTCACATAAATTAATCACCTTTTTCATTCTTCTCTTCATTACTCTTAAATAATTCCGGTATAATGTCTGCAACCGTATTCATCCATCCAATATTATGAATTGCTTTATTAGAATAATATTCCAATAAGCATGCTAGCATTGTATGATCTTTGGATAGTATGTAAAGTATTAATACTCAATGCGTACAGGCATTACAAGCAGGCAGCATAATTTTAACCATACGAACCCGAAAGAGCAGTACGAATCGTATTCATTCCACCTGACCAAGGAAAATATTGCGGTATATGAATCGATTCCCCAAAAGATAAAATGTCATTTACAAGTTCATAATCTCCCACTTCAATAAGAACATTCAATAAATCAAAGCGAATATCTAATAGTCGCCACGCAGTTGGATACAATCTAATAAACCTCAATATTATGTTTCGCGTTTGTTCAATGACATTATATAATTTTTGTTTAAAATTCTCATCATATATCTGTTCAAACTTTTTATAAACAGATAAATACTTAAGTGCATGGCATGCATATTTTGCTAAACTTATAACATCATCTTTGTTTTTCATTTTAATTTTTATAGTTTGAAGAGAACCCTCGGCATCTTCAATTTGAATGCTAAGTTTGAATTTTCCGACGCAATACTTAAAATCCTTTACTTTTATCGTTTTATATTCCCATTCACGTAATTTAGACAAATTTGACAACTGAAAGTAGGATAGGCTATATAAAGGCGTGTAAATTAATTCAAGAATCCTTTTTTTAGCATCTTTTTTTGTTCCTTGATTGTACCAAACTTGAACTGTATGGTATCCAATTAAAAGTATTTTTTCCTTTTTTTCATCAAGATAGAACGAATATTGTGGAGCTGTTAAGTCACTGGTAAGTAACCAAGGTTCAAGCATATAATTATCTTCATCTAATTCTGATTCTTTATCATGAAGATCTCGGATATTTTTATCAAGATCTTTTCTCGAGAAATAATCTTTTGATAGTTTCCTCCAATCTTGTTTATTACTTTTCTTTAAATATTTCAAATGTTTGTCTACGATCAAATCATCATAAATAGCCAGTTTGTCACTCTTATTAACGACCATGAATGAATTTGATCGTTCTATTTCCCAAAACAGTTGAAAATCAGAATTAGGTGGAAGCTCTATCTTAAATCCTGGATCTTCTAATTTAATAGTTTCTCGTAATGAGCCGAAAATATTCCAGATAGACCATTCATTTTTTGAAGAATATACAAATAGCATCTCATCATTGTGAAAAAAATCAATAAATGTAACATTAACGAATTTCGAATTTGTAATAACAAGCTCTGCTATTTCAAGACTGCATTCAATTGAATATATTTTGATTATTTTATTAGATTCATATTCATATGCTAATAATTTGCCATTGTTCGATACTGCATAACAATTAGGAATATCAATCATAACTGATTTGTAATAAATTGGTCTTCGAAAAGTATTTATCAATTGGTTTGTCTTTAAATTGTAAAGTTCTATATATTTGATGTCTTCTTTCATAGTATCGACCAAAAAATAATGCTTATTTAAACATTGCTTAATACATACTAATATAATTTTATATACTAGATCGATGCTAAATATTTCAAAAGGTAGATTTAAAGTATTTTTGACGGCATTGTATATTCTTTTTGGGTATTTTAGCTTTTGTACATAATTAATAGATATATTCTTCATATGATACTTATGAATCCCTGAAAGTGTTAAGAGAATAAGTAAGTGCTCATCAGCATTTTTATTGCTTTTGTCTGTTTCTTGTTCATCTTTTCCAGTTTTTTGATCTGTTATATAATCCTTTTTAGAAAATAATTTAACTATTCCACCATATTTATTTGGTAATTTTTTATCATCAATATAATTAATTGAATAATTATCATTATTAATATTGATAGTAAAAACGAAAGTAAATCCATGATTATGAATTTCTATCGGATGTATTTTGCTAGAATTTTCCATATAATCTGTCACGTCTTTAATATTGGCACAAGATATTGCTAATAATCTAAATTCCGAAGAACTAGCTGATTTATCAGACACGGCGACGAACCACCTAAATATGTTTTCATATTCATCTCTATTCATATTTAGTTGCTTATCAGTAAATTTAAATGTGGTAGGAATCCTGGAAAGTTTCCTGTATGATAATCCCTGGTCATCTTCTAGTTCTGAACTACTTTCTGGTTTTAAGCCACCTTTTTGTTTCGAGTCGTTTTCTTTATTATTTGAATTTTGAATATGATACAATTGAAATTCTAATTCTAAATCAACTAAAAAATTTTAAATGTTTATTAATAGTCAAATCATTTATTGCGCTTTTCAAAAATATATGACTTCTGCAGATCACAATATCGTGTGGAAATCGGTGATTCTTTAGATTTTAAGAATTTTACTGTTTTTGGTTAAATATAATTACAACCGATCGAAAATATGGAATAATAGATCTCAGAAATTTTCCCTGATCATCATCACAAAAATCATGAGGTCATACCTTTTTGAAAAGCGCTATAATTAAATAATTATTTCAAAAGAAATTTACCAAGATTTTTTATTAATAATACAACTAAAAAATCGCCTTCCGGACTAATTGCCAAATACTTTGTAGGTTTCTCTTCCTTTCCTTCAGTTTTGACTTCGACAATATAGTCTTCACTTTGGCTGAATGATGCTGACATAATGTAATTTTTACTTATTATTATTTTCTAACGCTGATTATTAATTAACGAGTTGAATGATAATCAAATAAAATATTATTGTATTTAAAATATCTTATGTGGCTTAAAATTGCTGAATAAATTTATTTACTATGGCTTAAGAAATCAATATTTTTATTTATTATTATAGTGGCTTCGAACTCATGTCCGTAAATATTTATTTTGTAAGGGTTACCAGTGTACTGAGCTCGGAAGGCATGGTTCTCAATCATGCTAATATTATTATACATTAGGTATACGAACAGTGCTTATCTATTGTGGACAATTAATTATATACAAATGATGAAACTCCGATGAAAGGCGAAAGTTCAGAACGAATACCGAAGCTCTCTTAAGATGATGAATCCATTAAGATAATGTTTATTATTATTATTAGGTATACTGGCCAGTAGACGCTGAAATACAGTTAAATGACAAATACATATGTAAAAGAATAAAATTTTGCTTACAGTATATTATGAACCTTGATACTACTTGGAGATTGTGTCCTCAACATTGTATGGGCACGGAGATAGCTTCAATAGTATAGAGTTATAATTCCTATATTATGGAGAAGAAATTATCAGTTTATTTTGTATTTAGAATTTATAAGAAATCGTCTTTTGATATTAAATACCGAAGAACCAATATTAACTCCATTTAAAATAATGTTTACGAATGGATCGAAAGAATTATTTGAATGCATATGTTGTATTAAGTCTGTTTGTTGATGACCATTTAAATAAAGGGATAGTAAGTTGGTTTGATTATGATGGATATAAAAAAAAAAATCTTAAATATTTAAGATTATCAAACGATAAAATAACTGAGTTATTAGTAGAAAATCTTTATAAAAATAACTCTTACGTTTGATTTTAGAGAAAAAACTATTAGTTAAAGAATATTTTCAATTTATTTGATCATAAGAAACTAAAGATATACCTTTTTGCAAACTGCTATAATCGGTTTATAATTGATTAAATATATTAGAATCGATTCTAGATTCAGAATTGACTCTAAAGAATATAATCGTTTTATATTAAGTATAAATGTTATTTTCACTTTCAAGTATGTAAGAAAATATATATTGCTGCGTTTGTAATCAATATTACGTGGTGCAATTATGTTATTATTGCAGTTTGCAGGTGTGGCCTTCGCAGCATGCAAATCACGTGAAATTAGACAACGTTCCGATTTTATAGATTTCAACGAATGTAAAGATACGTTGACCAATAGACAATCTAGAACCTCCGAATTTTCATCTATCAACATCCAAAAATCACGGGACTACACCTTTTTGAAAGAGCAATAAAATATTAAGCCTATACGTAGATTTTACTCAGCCTGGTATTTGTTTAAGCCATTCTAGAATCGCCCAAATATCGATTACAACTCCAGATCTACCAATAGAATATCAAAACTAGAATTGCACGTGGGCGGCTTCGCCGCCGGGGTTAGCATGGTGAGCTAGTAAGTAATTATTACTTTGGTACTATAAAGAAAATAGTAAAGAGATTTCTTATAGTTTATTTATTGATTATTTGTTTTTTATAAATAATATAGAACACGATCATGCAGGCAGCTTCGGCGCCTGTTTTAATTATTATATGTAAAGACAAACTGTATTTTTATATTTCTAATAAAGTAATTCGAACAAAATAGATAAGGATAGCTGCGTGACATGCAGGACCAGTTTGATCACATATTAATATAGCATTGGGTACATGTTCATTATAAAAAATTTTCTTATAATGTACAATGTTTAAGTTGATATGTACTAAATTAGCAAATATGAAAAATATATATATAAATTTCTGACTTTATAGCAAAATTTATGCGTTATGGCCATTTTTTTGTTTTATTGTATTTTTTTTTATTTTCTATTACAAAGCTTATTGCTTTGTTACCGATTACAGACAATTTGTCATGCGAAAATTGGTTATATGTAGAACTTATAATTACTCTGGGGATCGACGTTTACTATGTAAATCAAAACTATATATGGTCATAAAATAAAATTTATTAATGAAGATTTTTAGATAGGTAAAATAAGTTTGTAATAATTATTAGAAAATTTTTAGATAGGTAAAATAAGTTTGTAATAATTATTAGAAATTTTAATAGATGCACAGCTCTAACGGTTCGATAGTTTTCGATAAAATTTTGCAAAAACCTGTATTAGATCAATACAAACAAAGTTACTGAGTCATTTCTTTTATTTAAATATGAAAAAAATTTTTTTTTTTTTTTTTTAATAAAAAAAAAACAACTAATTTAGCTTCTTTTTTAATAAATTGGCTCTGTAACATTCTTTGTAGAGATATAATACTAGTCTTTACAAAATTTTATGGCTGTGCATCTATTTAAAAATTTCTAATATTTATTATAAACTTATTAATCTATCTAAAAATCCTCATTAATAAATTTTATTATATAACCACATATAGTTTTGATTTACATAGTATACGTCGATCCCCAATATGACATGTAAACTTTAAGATATACATGAGATTCACGGATGAAAAAAAAACACCGATTGAACTAAATCTAAATTTAAAAAAAAATGATAATGTTGCATTAAATGCATCAGAACTATCATGATTTCTACTGTTAAAAATTCTGTTACAAACTTACCGGTACGTGCCATTCCAATAATCACAACATATGGCCAAAATTGTTTAGCTTGCATCTTAATTATTGATCTGAACATTTTGCTTAAACCCCAGATCCTAATTACTTAGTACGTTTCTGAGAAATAGCACCAATAATGTTTAGCACTATAGGTGCATTTTAGTAAACTTGTTATGATTTCTATGTAATTAAGGTTTAGCTAATTGCATCGGAATTATTATGATTTTAAGTAACTAAAGTTAAGTTAATTTGTAATCAGAATTTATCTGGATTATCGTAATTTCTACTGTAAAAAAATTCTGTTACAAAACTTACTCACTATTTTGACACTACATGATTGTTTTAGCTCGCATAAAGTATTATTATTATGATTTTTATATAATTAAGGTTGTGCTGGTTTTCTCCGGAGTTATTATGATTTCTATGTGATTAAAGTTGAGTTAGTTTGCATTTGAATTATAGTGATTTCTACCATAAAAAATTATACAGAGCTTGCAGCTTAAGTTGTTGAGTAGTTCGTATTTTAATTGCATAGTATCTACTATAGAGTAATATAAGAGACTAAGAATTTTATAGTTAGGGCATAACTCTGCGTCTAAAGTAGTTACAGTAGTAATTTATACACAACACGTGAGTGATTTTTAATTTACAAATTTGGGTTAATAAATTTTACTCGATTTTACATATGGATGATCAATTCATGACGACATTGATTCAAATGATCGAAATGCAGAAATGTCGCAATAATTGAAGATGATCACAAGAACGTTGTAATTTATAACTGCTTATGTATATCTATGTAAGTTTTCCCACGTTCAGGTCACATTTTTCAAATATGACCAATAAAAAATGTTAAGTGTACAAACAGAATTGAATTATAAATATTATGACAAAATGCCGTAATGGTAATTTTATTATTTTTGGTTCCACATTTCAGATCACATTTTCAGATCCAACCCAATCAAAAATGTTAAAGCGTACAACATAGAATTATAGAATTAAAAGAGAAATTATCATCAAATTCTTCGCTATGATCTTTCATTAACAGGGGGAAACGTTGAAACGTCACAAAATATTACACAATTGATAAAAATTTTTTTTATATTATTTTACAATCCTTTTTTGGAAGGCTCGCTTGACTTATCTTTTATATGAATATTGAAAATGGTTAAACAATCATGAAGCTCTCCCTTTGCTTTCCAACATTTTTTTTGAATCTACTGCATT